CTGAAAAAATTTACATAAAAGCATGCTTTGTAGATAAAGCTATGTTCCAAATTTCAAGCAATTCTTAACATATTGCATTCTCCTTACAACCTCCTTAATTTTTTTTATGTGTCATGGCCTTAAGCCATAACTTTAAGAGCCCAGACACAAGCTTTTGCATAACGCATAACGCATAGTGCATAAGCGAATCAACTAATCAGAAGCTTTCCTTTCCTCTCATTCCATGGAAAAGAAGAATTTTGATTTGTTGATTCCATTATGCACTATGTATTATGTGTTATGCAAGAGTGTGTGCTGCGGCCATAATCCTTAAGCGGGGAGCACAGATTCTTGCATAATGCATAACACATGAGGCATAAGAAAATGAAGCAATCCAAAAACTGTTATTGGAGGAAACGGTAGGTAAATGAGCGAAAATACCCGAATGCACACGAGGATATGAGAGTAATTCGTTTTTTGGAACGCTTTACGATAGAATTGAGAGGATAAAAGGGAAACGTTCGAAAAGCAGAAACTGGTTATTGTATATAACTGATAATGACGCGACGAAATATTTCACTCGGTTTTGTACTATCGCTTCTTCGTAACACGTCTATTATTGTAAAAGAGAGTGACGATGATGATGAAGAAATGATGACATTGTTACTCGTTGAAAAAATGTCTCATCTACGTGGATCTTTATTCGCTCCGCCTAGGTTGGAAGGCTTTTTTGAAGAAGTTGTACTCAGATACACATTCCGACAATTTAAGTCACATTTTAGAATTACTCCTGCAACCGCTAATGATCTCGAAAATAGATTAGCCCCATTATTAGCTAGAGATGGAACAGAAGGAAGATTACCTGTCATCCCTCGTATACAAATCTTAATATGTCTGTGGATATTAGCAAATCCGGAATCATACAGGTAATAAATGAAGTTCTTTAATGCACAAGCCTATTTTGTGTGTGTGTGTGTGTGTGTGTGTGTGTGTGTGTGTATTAGAGTCAAAGTGTACACTCTTTTCTTTTTTAATCAATGTATACATTCATGTAAAATTTATTATAGTAAATATATACATTGACTATAGCAAACAGTAGTTGTATACATTTGCTAAGTTAACGCTTTGACTGTGGCATATATATATGTATATGTATAATATTTATTATGTTGGATGAATACTAATATATATATTATGCTGCATAGGTCAATGGAAGTACAATTTGGAATAGGTAAAGCCTCATTGCATCGTTATTTTCTACGTGTAATTCATGCTCTACGTGATATTTCCTCTGAAGTAATTTGTTGGCCAGAAGGCAATAATATAAATAGGATAAAAAATGAGTTCAATGCAAAGGCTAACATGCCTGATGTTATTGGTGCGATTGATGGCTGTCACATAGAAATAGAAGCTCCAAAGGTATACAAAAGTTGTATTATTAAAAAAATTAACATTATAAAGTTTTTGATTAAGTAGCATAAGTATTTATGTTTAGTTTGATGCTGCTTCATATCGCACTAGTAAGAAAAAATATGCTGTCCAACTTCAAGCAATTTGCGACGCATCCTTAGTTTTTACAGACTGTTTTGCTGGCTATCCAGGAGCAGTCCATGACGTTCGTGTGCTCCATAATTCTCCATTATATAGAGACGCAATGAGAAATGAACGTGCTTTGTTTCCTAATGGAGAGTATCTTGTTGGAGATAAAGGCTATCAGCCAGTAAGAACATGGCTTATAACACCTTATAGAGATACTGGTGCTTTGACTCAAGTATGCTAATATCTTTTTATTATTTAATGTAAGCGATTATATTTTATCCTTTCCTCGTCCGGATATACTTATTAACAGTTTTTCTATTTATAGGCTCACAAAGATTTCAACAATATTCTATCAAGAACTAGACAAGTAATAGAGCGTGCGTTTGCTCTTCTGAAAGGACGTTTTAGAAGATTGAAACATTTGCACATGGATCTTATTGATAAAATCCCTTGTACAATTTTAGCTTGCTGTGTACTACATAATTTATGCCTGCAAGGATTTCATGATAATGAAGAAGATCTTCAAGAATATATTAGAGATGGAGAAGAAATTGACAACGATCTTTATGCACAGGAACAAAATTTATATGAAGAACTCGTAATTCATAATGATAATAACGTTACAGCTGGCCAAAGAAAGCGTAATTATTTAAAGGATAGATTAACTTAATTCGAAGCACTTTATAAACACATCCAAGTTAGTTTATTTGAATAATATTCAATGTAACAAATTAAATAAAATTAGTTTTAAAAAAAATATTTAAGAATCAGTCTTTTATTTATAAAAAAAGTACATTTCCTGTCTTCGTATACATATAATATACCATCTTTTTTATAGTAACCAAACCTTTAGTAGTAGTCAAACAACATCTTAATTCTAAATGTTATTTATAAAATTAATAAAAAATAAAAGTATAATTAACAAAAGTATAATCTTTAGCAAAATAAAATTCAGAAAAAAATAAACAATATCGCAAATGTTGCATATCATGTAAATGCATATACATATATAAAGAGTACATAATTTTAAAAAAGGAAGTTAAGTGTGACTACTTTACATTTGGTATTATTTACTTTACGTTTAAAAATAAATTATTTAAGATAATTTGTCCAATATTTTTTGTCAAGAGATCATTTTGTGCTTTTATTTGCTCTTTTTGTAAAGTTTGGGGGGGGTCGAAGGTTTAGTCGCTCTTATTCTAATAAGGCAGCGGCCGTCGCCTTCGGCCTCACTGCCGGATCGTTGATAAATCGCTGAGGTTTTTTTCTTCTGTTGGGTTCATGTAAAAGAACTAAGAGGAGGTTCGTCTACGTACAATATATTTACACGGTAATGTACAGTATGTTTTGGTGGCCCTGAAAAGGGCCGATTGTGGTACTTTAAGTGGCCCTGAGAAGGGCCGTTTGGTACGGCGCGAGTTATGC